TTGCACTTTATGCTTTAGTGAAGTACAGTTCTCAGTTGAATGACCTACAGCTCCTGCATGGTAATCACAGTGGACTTGCGGGTCGTACCACTTTGAATAAGGTGGCTGCAATGGTTCTACAGGTACCGGAGCTAGTAGATGACTTTGAAATAATTCTGATAACATCTCGGTATAGGATATTGGGATTGGATGAAAACTCTCTTGCTTTAGTTGCCTCCTACTCTTATGATTGTTAGGTAATGCTGACAATCTTAGATGTGGGTCATTCTGCAGAGCCGATGAGTTTATGGGTACTGTAGACGGATTGTATACCGCAGATCCTTGTTGGTACCTCCACTTGCGCTTCGAGATTACTGCCTGGACTTTATTTTTCCTTTTAATGAAGCTTTTATTTTGTGGCTCTTTATCAATTAAAGACACTGTCAGTTGTTCGTTTGCCTCTCTCCATCTCCGTGCACTTTCTTTCCCTGCAGTTTCTTCAGCATTTTATTGGTAGCATTTTCTTTTTCTTTACCTTTTAACTTCTCTGAGTATTTGGCCTTTGATGTTTGTCCATCTTGGAATGTGAATTCAACCTGACAGATTGTAGGAGCTTGTTGGCATTTCTTGAAAAGCTGATCTTCATGTGACAAATTATACTAAGGGAAGCGCTCTGTTGGTTGACAAAGAGGTGAGTTCACCTCAGGTGATGAATTATTATGAGGTTCGACTAAATTGTTAGGTTGAGAAATGCCCCCAACAATATTTTTTAAGATATTGAAAATTTCTGTGATTTGTCCCTGAATCTTATCAATGTCTTGTCTCATCTTCTTTAGCTCTACATCATGCACCTCCATGACCTGTTCTTGAATCTTGCATCTTATTTTCTTTAGCTCAGTATTCAATTCTTCCATGACCCGTTCGTGGATTTCGTCTCTAATTTTCTTTAGCTCAGCATTAAGTTCTTCCATGTTATGCTGCCTTATGTACCTTGTATATAAAGAATAGGAAATATGTGGTTGTTGAGCTATTTTTCTAATGGAGAATGCACATATTTGATTTTTTTTAAAGATAGAAATTGATATGCATGAGACGATTTTATGCAAATGTTGGATATAAATTAGGGGAAAATTTTGAAATGATTATGAAGATGTGAAATGATGCATGCATAAGATGATATAGATTTTTTTTAGTGATGCATGAGAACGATGGGCATGTAAAATGATAAATGCGAGATATATTCTTTTAATTTTTTGACACATGAGACATGATGCATGCGAAAGACATAGAGTTTTTTTTTATTTAATTTTCCTTACGGGAAGGAAAAAACTTATTTAAATATGCTACAAATTGCTCCAAGAATATGATAAATACTTAATGCAATCATTAATACATTCTAAATGCATGCAAATGTAATGGTAGACTCTAATTYACCCTAAGAGAGAGAGACATGAATATGTACATTAAACTCTAGGGTTATAAAGCTGAACTCCTAAGTTTTCGATAGAAGTGAATAAATTCGAAAGTTTTTGGTGGGCCAAGATAGAGACGTTTAAAATCCCTTTCAATGGCAAAACTCTTACCCAAAACTTAAACAAATAACTAGGGGGAAGTAGGGTAAATGATTTTTTATTATTTTCTTTTATTTTTTAAAAAAGTGGTTCATTTAAAACCTTATGGTTAAAACTCCAAATCAACCCTAACAATATGCCATGAACGACATAACAACCCACATAAAATGCAATATGAATATGGTGTGAAGTTATGTACTAATTCATCCTATAGGATAATGGCCCTCAAATCTTCCATATGCTTTGGCAATATGGTCGACTTGAGTGGAGAATTTCATGTGCCTGCACGGGAATCGAAATTCCACGAAGGTCACACTACTCAGTCTCTGATCTAATCCTAAGGGTAAAGCCCGGGTATGAGGCTTGTGAATGTGTGTGAAATGCATAATGATGCAAAAATAAAAGCCAATAATTAAAAGACAATATATGCAATAAAAAAATGGACCAAAATATTTTATAACGGGTAATAAATGA